GCAGGAATAATGCATTGAAAGCACCCCTGACAGATGGCCATTCAGCCTCTGTTTAAAAGCCTCCAAAGGAGGAGCCTCCACCACATTCCGGGGCAGAGAGTTCCACTGCTGAACGGCTCTCACAGTCAGGAAGTTCTTCCTCATGTTCAGATGGAATCTCCTCTCTTGTAGTTTGAAGCTATTGTTTCGCGTCCTAGTCTCCCTCCTCCCGTCCTAGCTTGCTCCCTCCTCCCTGTGACTTCCTCTCACATATGTATACATGGCTACCATATATCCTCATCCTTCTCTTCTTCAGGCTAAACATGCCCAGCTCCTTAAGCCGCTCCTCATAGGGCTTGTTCTCCAGACCCTTGATCATTTTAGTTGCCTTAGATGTTCTTGATTGTTTCCTCTCTGTTGTTTTGCTGTTGTAATTTAAGAGTTTTTTTTAAACATTCACACCTAGCTCCAACAGACTAGAGTCCTTTGCCCCACCCTGGTAATTCTACAGATATATAAACCCATTTTCCTAGTGCCAAAAGACCTCACTACCTCTGAGGATGCTTGCCATAGATGCAGGCGAAACGTCAGGAGAGAATGCCTCTAGAACATGGCCATATCGCCCGAAAAAGCCTACAAGAACCCAGACTCCAAGGCACATACACTACAGCAACAAACACGAATGGGCTCAGGCCAAGTGAGACATCTAGTGATTCCAGATCAATGAATACCTTGTGTGTCCCATATCGTCAACTGAAAATTGGCAGTGTTCAATGTATGCCCATTTCTCCCCAACTGAATATTTTGTGTCCAAATAAGAGCCCCAAAATCCCATAACAGCGGAAGGGTGAAGAGAGTAGGGAGATTGGTGGAAGGGTGAAGGAAGGAGAGAATAGGGAGAATGGGGAGAAGATGAGAGCCTTTCCCCAATTCTTCCTTTGCAAACTGGCAGGAAAGAGAGTTAGAGGACCAGTGTGTGTTTGTGTGTTGATTCTTAATTAGTCTAGAGCACAAAACCTCCCAATTGATGCACCCCAAGAATGTCCAAATGGCAGGAGGAGTCCAATTAACAGCACATGGATGTAACTTGGGCAAGTCAGGGGCTCCCCACCTGCTTTTCTGACATGGCCTGAGCTCTTCCAGGTGCCCCAGAGCCCCATCGCATGGATCGATGGGGCAGCTGCCTTCCCTAGGTAAAGACACGTGACTAGAGAAAGCGGGACAAGGTATCCAGGTCACATTATCCCTGGCCTTGAGATCCAGGAGGGATGCCATGGGAGACGATGCCCTGGGGAGGCTGAACAGCCAGCGTTACACAGACAAGTCCTGGCAAAGCCATCATGCACAGTACATTAAGTGTCATCGTTCAAATCGCAAAACCACCAAGTCTAATAAATGATCAAAATGTAAACAGCCTCCACTTTTGCAGATTCCACTTTCGTGGGTTTGATTATTTGCCAGTTTGTAGCCACTATTTAACTGATTCCATCTCCTGACCCAAATGTTTTTGGTGTCCCAAGTCTCCACCACTGTCATCCCAAGTTTCCACCTTAGTTCCTCATGTTGTGGTGGCCCCGAACCATAACATTATTTCAGTTGCTACTTCATAACTGTAATTTTGCTACTGTTATGAATCGTCATGTAAATATCTTGATTTCGTCATTTGGGAGTTGTAGTTGCTGGGATTTATAGTTCACCTACAATTCAAGAGCATTCTGAGCTCCACCAACGAGGGAATTGAATCAAACTTGGCACACAGAACTCCCATGACCATCAGAAAATACTGGAAAGGTTTCGTGGGCATTGACCTTGATTTTTTGAATTATAGTTCAACTGATATCATCTGATGTGCAGGATGTATTTTCATTCACTGGACCAAATTTGGCACAAATACCAGATACGCCCAAATTTGAATACTGGTGGGGTTGATTTTGTCATTTAGGAGTTGTAGTTGCTGGGATTTATAGTTCGCCTACAATCAAAGAGCATTCTGAAGTCCACCAGTGATGGAATTGAACCAAACTTGGCATACAGAACTCCCACGACGAACAGGGTTTGGTGGGCATTGATCTTGAGTTTGGGAGTTGTAGTTCACCAACATCCAGAGAGCACTGTGGACTCAAACAATGATGAATCTGGACCAAACTTGACACAAGCACTCAATATGCCCAAATGTGAACACTGGTGGAGTTTGGGGAAAATAGACCTTGACATTTGGGAGTTGTCATTGCTGGGATTTATAGTTCACCTACAATCAAAAAGTGTTCTGAATCCCACTAATAGAATTGGGCCAAACTGCCCACACAAAATCCCCATGTCTTGAAGAGACTCGCTGGCGTGAGCCTCCCTCCAGCCTTACACGCTCTCCCCTTGCCCACAAATGCGCACCATGCTGCCATGTGCCAAGCACACCTGCTCTCCCCTCCCTGCTTTGAGTCTCAGTAAGGTTATGTGGCCAGCATGACTGCATAGAGCGCCGTTACCTTCCCACCAGAGCGGTACTTACATCTGCATGTTTTCAAACTGATAGATTGGCAGTAGCTAGGGCTAACAGCGGAGCTCATCCCACTCCTCAGATTCAAATTGCAACTTTTTGGTCCCCAAGTTCAGCAGTATAGCGGTTTAACCCACTGCACCACTGGGGGTTCCCGGTGGCGCAGCGGGTTAAGTTGAGCTTAGAAAGGGGGAAAAAAGAACTGGTGATTATTTTACTCACAGTGGCAAAAACTGTAATTGCAAGGAAATGGAAGATAGTAGCCAATCTTACTGAGTCTCCCCGCTTTGAGTCCCCCCCCCTCCCTTGTGGCTGAGAGGCCAACCAATCACAGTGGAGGAGGGTTTTTGGTGTAAGGATTCACCTTCTGTTTACAAAAGGAAGGGGAGGACAGGCGGAGAGTTCTTCAGCCTTCTCTGCCAAAGGGGTTCCTAAGACCATCAAGGATATGTTTTCTGACAGTCTTTGGCAACCCCTCTGAAACCCCTTCTCGATCCCCCCAGGGGTCCCAACCCCCAGGTTGAGAAACGCTGTCGTAAATGGTCTCTATCCACCTCTTCTTTGGCCACCCACAAAGCCTATTTTATATACCTACTAGCTGTCCCCTGCCACGCGTTGCTGTGGTCCCATCTGTTGAGCTGTAAAATAAAGTAATGAGAAAGTGTTGAATGTATTGTCGAAGGCTTTCATGGCCGGAATCACTCAGTTCTTGTGGGTTTTTTCGGGCTATATGGCCATGTTCTAGAGGCATTTCTCCTGACGTTTCGCCTGCATCTATGGCAAGCTCTGAGGAAGCTTGCCATAGATGCAGGCAAAACGTCAGGAGAAATGCCTCTAGAACATGGCCATATAGCCCGAAAAAACCCACAAGAACTGAGAGAAAGTGTTGGTTTCTAATCTATGTAATTTCTTTCTGCTTGTGGGTAAACAGTATTTCTTGCTCTTTCTTTGTCAGTGTTGATGTGAACAGTGTCTGATTTGCCTACTCTGGAACATGCAACATATAATTGTCCTTCAGGGGTCCCTTTCAAATCTATGATACTATATGTGTGTGTGAATCATATGTATCTATATCAATGGCTGGATGACTCTTTGTCAGGAGGACTTTGATTACATTTTCTTGCTCTGATGAAGTGAGTTGGACTGGATGGCCTTAAGTATTTTCTATTGGTCATGGGGGTTCTGTGTGGGAAGTTTGCCCCGATTCTGTTGTTTGTGGGATTCAGAACGCTCTTTGATTGTAGGTGAACTGTGAATCCCAGTGACTACAATTCCCAAATGTAAAGGTCTATTTCCCCCAAACTCCATCTGTGTTCACATTTGGGCATATTGAGTATTCTTGTCAAGTTTGGTCCAGATCCATCATTGTTTGAGTCCACAGTGCTCTCTGGTTGTAGGTGAACTACTACTCCCAAACTCAAGGTCAATGCCCTCCAAACCCTTTTAGTGTTGTCTGTTGGTCATGGGAGTTCTGTGTGCCAAGTTTGGTTCAATTCCCTTGTTGATGGAGTTCAGAATGCTCTTTGATTGTAGGTGAACTATAAATCCCAGCAACTGCAACTCCCAAATGACAAATTCATAATTTTTTGAGTGATGGTCACTTCTTGTGTTATGAGACGTTTTGTTGCCAAATTTGATGTGATTTCGTTCATTGGTTCTTTTGTTTTTAAGGAACTCATTATGCACAGAGAATGTATATATATATATATATAAGATCACATAAACATTTTTCAGGCTGAAAGGGGTTGCAACTGGACAAAGTTTCCTTGAACCAATCCACCCTAACAGGAAAAAAAAGTTGGGAAAATGAAGGTGGATACCTATTCTGCAACCCAACTGGAGGGCATTTCAGGACTGAAGGAGGGTGCACAAAAACTGTTCAGCGTTACACTGATCCTGTCTGAGGTTGTGCTACACAGTGCAAATAAGTTAATTGTAACCTACGATTGTGTGAAAACATTGTTTCTCCACCCCACTGTGTGAATTTATTTTTCAGTAGAAAAGAAAACAATCTTTTAACTGGGCCAAGATTGCAGAGAGACATGCACAAGAAGTGGAAAAAGGGAGAACTCACCAAAGAAGAATTCAAATTAATACCCAGCTCCTGTCGGGAAAAGGTTTGCAAGGCTAAAGAGCAAAACAAGCTCAGCCTTGCCAGAGACATTAAAAACAATGAAAAGGACTTCCTTTGACCTTTGTCCGCGTGGTCATCTTTCTGCAATCTCCAAATGCAGTGCTGTTTGTGCTGCTGATGTGGCTTCTCTTCTCATGATGTGGTCGTACCATCGTAGCTTTGTTTCCTGCATTTTCTTGCTGATCGCTTCTATTCCTAGTTTTTGATGGGTGAGTGGGGAAATGAAGGTCGATACCTATTGTGCAACCCAACTGGAGGGCATTTCAGGACTGAAGGAGAGTGCAGAAAAACTATCCAGCTTTATATTGACCTTGTTTGAGGCTGTGCTGCACCGTGCAAATAAGTTGATTGTAACCTGCGATTGTGTGAAAACATTGCTTCTCCACCCCACTGTGTGAATTTATTTTTTAATAGAAAAGAAAACAATCTTCCTGACCAATGCACCTTCAATTAGTCTGTAACAAATAACAAAAAAAAAAAAAACCCGAAAGAAAGGCTGAGATACTCAAACCTCTCAACAACAAGTGTACAAAAGCAAAGGGTTGGGTCAAATACAAACAAAAAAAAGGTGTTCAAGTTTTGAAAGCCTGGCGACCAAAGTCCCGGCGGGATGCTTCCTTGGCTCGTTCAAGAGGGCCAAAGGAAAGAACCCCTTCCGTCGAGCTCAGTCACCCAGGGAGATTTCAACGTGCGACACTTCAACGGATGCAGGAGGGGAAGAAACTATGACCTCGAAACACGCGGAGAACGTACAACATCAGCGGCCCTGTCCCCTTCTCGTAACGGCTGGGGAGGGGAGGAATGAAGCAGGAGGAGACTGGGGTGGCAGCTCTGCCCCCCAACCGCCCAGCTCTGCCCCTTTGCCGCCACCACAAAGCCCCTCCACTCACCTCCTCCGCTTCGTAGCTGTAAAGACACAAGCAGCACTGGGCAAACTGGACTTAGGAAGGGCAGCAAAGGAGGTGGCAAGTAAACATGGCCCAGCTGCGGCCCTCCCAGCGTGAGGTAGACAGTTGCAGCCTTAGGGAAACGTGGATGGACCAGGGAATGGAAGAAGAAGAAGGCCGCAACAAAAGGCAATGCCTGGGCCAGGAGCACTGTGTTCCCTTTGGTACGTGGCTGGGTTCGGGGGCCAAGGGGAGCCCTCCCGCCTCCCTCCCGCTCTCTCTTCGCTGCCAAGGCAAACGGTCGAAGGTGAGCGTGGCCAACGGCTTGCAAAGACGGCCACGGCCTACCACGTGAATTGTGCCTTATTTCAGTCCTCTCCCCTGCCGAAACAGGAATCAATTCTACCCTCAAGTTCCTCATGGAAAGCTCAAGGACCGCCCCGTGTGTCAAGGAAGTTGGCAGTGTCCCTTGCTGGTTGAAGCTGAGGCCCAACGGGGCTCGGGGGCTTCCGGCCTGAAGGCCCCACCCCCTCCCCAAGCGGGCCCAGAAGCTGTTGAAAGGAGGCACCAGGATGGAGAGGGGGCAGCGTGATGGCTCCTTCCAGAGTCCCTCGGGCGGGGGCCCCCGTGTCACATCCTCCTGCTGCCCCGGGCGACCAGCTAGTGGCGACTGGAGACCAGCCCTTTCACCTTGGACATCTTCTTGCTGGGCTGCCTCTGCTCCGCGTGCGGAGGGCACTCCCGCTCGGCCAGCTGCTGCTCCATCTCCTGAGCTGAGGACGAGGCCGTGGCCTTGAGCGTCTTCTTTATGTTGGTCACCTGCAGTAGAGGGAGGGGCAGGCAGGTGGGTAGGTGTGTCAGAAATACTGAAAGTTAACAGTGTATTTTTAATTACAAAAAGTGATGTATATGCACTGAAAGAGTTAAAATGATGCAACGACTGAGCAAAACCAGGAGAGTGATATAGGCAGGTGTGCCTTTGAGCTACTTGCTCCTCCTGTGTGAAGACTTCCTTCTGTGTAAAGGACTGCTGTGTTTGATTACTCTGCTGTAAGGACTGCTGTGTAAGGACAAGAGGGATCCTCTCACTTCTGCAGGGGTCTACATAGGGACCACCAAACGCAGCACTGCCCAACCACGAATCAAGGAACATGAAAGGCACTGCAGACAGATTCAGCCAGAGAAGTCAGTCATAGCAGAGCACCTGATGAACCAACCAGGACACAGCAGATTATTTGAGAACACAGAAATGCTGGACCACTCTCACAACCACTCAAACAGAGCACTCATTCCTTTTTAGGCAGACCAGAGCATAACTACAATTCCAGGAATCCCCCCCCCCCCCAAGAGGACGGCTAGTAACTATGGGGACTAGTTATAGGGAACAATTCTCCCTTTTAACATGAATCATTAACTAGCAAACAGTCTACTTCCAGAGACAATTCAAAAACCTGATGATGCATGACCTCTAAAGTTCTTACGCCGCTTAGAGCAAGACTGTCTGAAAGTTCTGTATCTCACCAACTATCATAGAAACAAAGAGTTGCAACCTCCTGGGCCATCCTCCTGGGCCATCCAGTCCAACTCCCTGCCAAGAAGCAGGAACATTGCATTCAAATCACCCCTGACAGATGGCCATCCAGCCTCTGTTTAAAAGCTTCCAAAGAAGGAGCCTCCACCACACTGGGGCAGAGAGTTCCACTGCTGAACGGCTCTCACAGTCAGGAAGTTCTTCCTATGTTCAGATGGAATCTCCTCTCTTGTAGTTTGAAGGCTATTGTTCCGCGTCCTAGTCTCCAAGGAAGCAGAAAACAAGCTTGCTCCCTCCTCCCTGTGGCTTCCCCTCACATTTATACATGGTTATCATATCTCCTCTCAGCCTTCTCTTCTTCAGGCTAAACATGCCCAGCTCCTTAAGCCGCTCCTCATAGGGCTTGTTCTCCAGACCCTTGATCATTTTAGTCGCCCTCCTCTGGACACATTCCCACTTGTCAACATCTCTCTTGAATTGTGGTGCCCAGAATTGGACACAGTATTCCAGGTGTGGTCTAACCAAAGCAGAATAGAGGGGTAGCAGGCCAAAATCCCATTGGCTTTTTTTGCCGCCACATCACATTGTTGGCTCATGTTTAACTTGTTGTCCACGAGGACTCCAGGATCTTTTTCACACGTACTGCTCTCGAGCCAGGCATCGTCCCCCATTCTGTATCTTTGCATTTCGTTTTTTCTGCCTAAGTGGAGTATCTTGCATTTGTCCCTGTTGAACTTCATTTTGTTAGTTTTGGCCCATCTCTCTAATCTGTCAAGATCGTTTTGAACTCTGCTCCTGTCCTCTGGAGTATTGGCTCTCTCTCCCAATTTGGTGTCTGCAAACTTGATGATCATGCCTTCAGTTTGAAGGTTGCCTTTGAAGACTGTCCGGAAGCTTCAAATGGTCCAACGGACAACAGCCAGGTTACTAACATGCAACATTAACTAGCAAACTGTCTACTTCCAGAGACAATTCAAAACCCTGGTGATGTATGACCTCTACAGCTCTTACGCTGCTTAGAGCAAGACTATCTGAAAGTTCTGTATCTCCCAAACCAGCTTCCACAACTCTATAATTTTCAGGCTATGGGAAATTCAACTGCTCCCTCTCTGATCTTTCTAAGCAAAGTGGTCCGTAGCCTTTAACTGTTTGGCGTAGAGGAATGTGCAATGGGTAGACTGTTTTTTAAATATGTAATATGGGGTATGGTGTATACATTACTTTCAAATACAATGCAATCAAGCCCATTTAATTATTTTCCATGAAAAGTCAATCCAGAAAGTGAGAGTTATACAACAGGTAGAAGAAGACAAATTCTGTTCCACCTCCCACTCCTTGCTCCAAACATCCCTTCGACAAAATGATGGTTGAGAGTGGAGAAAGGATCACATTTTGCTTGCAGGTATTTGCATATAAAGAGCCATGAGATTCTAAATAATCGGGGGGGGGGGGGGAACAAAAGCTAGAAACACCAATCCAGAGATTAAAATCCCGTATTAAAAATGTGAAAGGACTAAATTAACAGGAACCAGGATTGTTTCCATACTAGTTCCTCCTGATTTAAATGCAAATTTAGTCAGCCAGGGATAAAATCGTAAACATTTGCTGCCATCTAGAGGTCAAGAGACTCACTCCCATGTAGCATTGTATTGTTTCAGGACCAATTTTTGATACAGGTTGAGCATCCCTTATCCAAAAGGCTTGGTATCAGAAATGTGTTGTTGGAGGCACTCATGGCCAGAATCACTGGGTTGCTGTGAGTTTTCTGGGCTATATTGCCATGTTCCAGCAGCATTCTCTCCTGATGAAATGTCAGGAGAGAATGCTTCTGGAACATGGCCATACAGCCCGGAAAACTCACAGCAACCCAGTATCAGAAATGTTTGGGATTTTGGTTTTATTTATTTTGGATTTTGGAATGCATGTAGTTACATAGGTGTGCATAATGTGATCTCTTGAGGACAAGAGGATCTTGAGGATCTCTTGAGGACAAGTATGGACATGAAAATCATTAATGTTTCCTAGACTCAACATAGAGAGTTTTATACACAATATTTTTAATATTTTTGTGTATAGAGGATAGTCAAGGAATGCTGAAGAATTAGAAAACAAAAGTGTCTCTATTTCAGACACCCTTGTGGACTATTTTCGATTTCAAATTATTTTGGGACTCTGGATAAGGGCTGCTCATCCTATACCAGTTCTTTGCCAGCAAAAGTAACAACCCACTGCATCTTTTCTAAGCCATGAGACAAGATTTAGGAGACCTGAATGAAGTAGACCAGGGATCCTCAAACTAAGGCCCAGGGGCCGGATGCGGCCCTCCAAGCTCATTTACCCACCCTCGCTCAGGGTCAACCTAAGTCTGAAATTATTTAAAAGCACACAACAACAATCCTATCTCATCAGCCAAAAGCAGGCCCACACATCCCACTGAAATACCAATAAGTTTATATTTGTCAAAATTGTTATTCATTTTAATTATTTTATTGTTTTTAAGTGTTTTTTGCATTATAAATAAGATATGTGCAGTGTGCATAGGAATTCATTCATGTTTTTTTCAAATTATAATCTGGCCCTCCAACAGTTTGAGGGACTGTGACCTGGCCCTCTGCTTAAAAAGTTTGAGGACCCCTGAAGTAGACAATAAATGTCTCATAGTATTTGATCAGATATGGAAGCACTTCAGGGCTGTTGCTCCCTTTCTGCTTTACCAAGAATCAACTGGGCCTGAATACTTACCTCTGTTTCTACCTGCTGTTGTGTCCGGTTGTGGTTCTCTTTGTATTGGTTGGCTCTAAGCACCTGCTGCTCAATTCCTAACAGAACCGTTTCACACCCATCACACCTATAAACAAAACACTAGTCAAGTTAATGTCAGGGAGATGGACTGAGTTCAGGAAAGATAAGTTACGGGCCAACTAGGGAGTGGGGAAACTGGGAGATTGCAAAACAAGGGCATGGGCAACCAAGGCGTATTTTACCATTCATGCAATGTTTTCACAATGTTGCTGATGTCCTTCCTCTGGATGTCCCGGCCAATGCAGAAGTCCACTTCTAACATCTGGTTCCGCTGATCCAGCTTCCCTTGGATGATGTCGGTGTAAACAGCTTCAATGATCAGATCCTCCAATTCCCGCAGGTTACGCATCTCCAGGTCTTTTAATAACACTGAGTAAGGAATGCACTGCAGGAAGAGGGAAGCCCAAGGGACACGGCGTCACTGTGTCATGTTTGTCCTTGGTACAAACTTCTTTTTACCAAAGGATGCAATCATGGGTACTAGGGTTGGTTAGCTTTGTTATTCGGCCCTCTGGCCTTAGTTTGAGGGCCCCTGTTCTAGGTAGTGCCATTTTGCCTTTTGATCTGCCCACTCCACTTCTGAGCCTGTTCAGGGACTTCCAAGTTGCGCATTCTTGGGTTGCCTGTGGAGAGACTCTCATGGGAGGGGGGGGGGGGAATCCAGTTGGGATTGCCTGGTTTAGCTTCCCAGAGGGATACTTTTTCTATTGCTGGGGGAACATTAAGAGGAGTGGTGGTTCTCATGAAGCTTTTCCTTGATTTGAGTCTACTGGGAGGAGGCCGATAGCCATGCACATCAGGGAGGGAGGGGGGCAAGAAAAAGCTATCAGAATCAATTGAGTTAAGTATGTGTTTTAAATGTGCTTCTATGTATTGCAAATATGGATGCCACTGTGAATTGAAAATGCTGTGCAGAAATGTTTAGAATTGAGGCTGTGATTAAGTGAACTTGAGAAAGTAAGATAAGCTTTGTTCTGGTGAGAACTGAAGGGAGTGGCCAGCCTCCAGCAAGAGAAGATAAGCAGATGTAAAGAAGTGATTTGGCTTTCGGTTTTGACTAGTTCTCTTCCTGTATGTAGCTCGCTGTAGAAAGATGTGTTTGCTGTGTGTGCTTAGTAAAACTTAGTTTTCTTTTGTAACTCAAAGCTTGCAGAGTGCTTATTTGCAACTCAGTGTCTGTTTGATCTAGCATTCCTTCGGCTGGGTATCATCAATCTCTGACAAAAGCAGCATATCAGTTTAGGCTGCAAGATCCATTCTACTGGAAATTGCTTATTTTATTTTATTTTATTTACTGTATTTGTATACGCCCCTCTCAGCCTTCCGGCGGCTTGAGATGGTTTACAAGGCAAAATTCAATGCCACAAAAACACAAGTGCAATTTAAAAAATGTTAACATCAATAAAATCATAACAACGGCAATAAAACAGTCGATAAATCCTCATTAATTGCTGATTCTTGGTCATTGATGTCAATACTTTACCTTCATTCTGGAAGCTAAGCTGACAATAGTTAAGTGCTTCAGCTTGTTCTTTTGAGCACCCGTTAACTCTGGCAGGTTATTCTTGTTAGCTGTCCAAAAGAATGAATTAAACAACACCATCAAAAATGACAGTCTTAAACTGAATTGCTCAACACCATTTGTCTGATACTATATGTTGGTTTCACACAATCTCAACACAATATAAGAGGCCTTCCATTTTCTTGCAGGAATTGGGGCATGGGCATGGTTTCTATAGTAATCTGTTCAGGCTATAGTATCCATCTTCTGGAAGTTAACACAAAGTTATGGTGGACAATAAATAAATAAAACATAAATAAATAAAACAATAAATGCTACATGGGTTACAAAAATGGGAAGTCAAAAGAGATGTTTTATATATATTTGAAACTTGGTGATGAGAAATAAAGTTAAATAAAGTTTTGCTATGGAAATGTATGAAAATGAAGAAAGAAGGAATCATTTGGGAACAACATGGTTTTAGATGTTGTGCATATGAAGAAAGGCTCTTACATTATTGATCAAATGTTTTGAAGGTTTATATACAAAAGTTGAGTTTACATGCGATAATGGTTCATTCAATTGTAATGATGATGATTTGGTTATTTATAATTTTAATTGTGAAAATGTATTTCTGGTTTAAGAAATTGAGATTTGGTACAAATGTAATTTTTTTGGTCGTGTCAGGAGCGACCTGAGAAACTGCAAGTCGCTTCTGGTGTGAGAGAATTGGCCGTCTGCAAGGACGTTGCCCAGGGGACGCCTGGATGATTTGATGTTTTTATCATCCTTGTGTGAGGCTTCTCTCATGTTCCCACGTGAGGAGCTGGAGCTGATAGAGGGAGCTCATCCGCCTCTCCCCGGATTTGAACCTGTGACCTGTTGGTCTTCAGTCCTGCCGGCACAGGGGTTTAACCCACTGCACCAATTACAAATGTAATTAGAAGTTACGTTACTATATTTTGCATAAAGATTTAAAAATGAAATCTATATGCAAAAGGGGGAATGTCACAAGAAATTCAATGTGCAGATTTGACAAATATGAATTTAATATGATGTGTGGGAATGAATGGAAGGATGTGTGGTTGGAATTAATAATTTTGGAAACACCAGTATAATATTAAGGCCTGCAATGACTAACTACCTGCTTGCTGCTTTGTGATTAAAACCTGTTAATGAGATCTGAAGAGTGAATACTGCTTCTAAAAACCAACTGTGAAATCTTATGTTTACTTTGGGCAAGGAAAGAAATGGCAAGCAACATCTTTAGAGACAAGAGTGTCTCTCCCATCCTTTCAAAGTTAAATTTGTGGCCTAGACTTCCAGCGGCTTCTTACCTAAATAATCTGGGTAGGTTCCATAGGCAAAAAGATTCAGCAGCTGAAAATATGCAGCATTAGGCCCGTCAGCAAGCTGCAGACAAAGGAAGAGACCCATTAGAGTGCTATTGATCCACAGCTAATCATGTTAAGACTACAACAGGGCTTATTAAATCACAGTATTACTAGCTTGCTAAACTCAAGGTGATGTTTCCAAAGCATGGCTGGTTATGTACGAGAGCTCCCTGCATTCCAGATTCAGCGTACACCTTAAAGGTAGGAAGGCTATGTAGCAACTTGCTTTGCATTTTGTATAGGCATATACAATATCTTTTGGCATATACAATATCTTTTGGCATATAAACTATTCCCTGTTCTCCAGGGGCCCCTTCCACACAGCCGAATAAAATCCCACATTTTCTGCTTTGAACTGGAATATATAGCAGTGTGGACTCAGGTATTCCAGTTCAAAGCAGATACTGTGGGATTTTCTGCCTTGATATTCTGGGTTATATGGCTGTGTGGAAGGGTCCTGTGTCTCTATTTATTTGTCGTGTCAGAGCAACCAGTCCATTATATTACATTTCTAACAGAAGAAAGCAAACAAACAGACAAATACAAAACTTGTGAGTTTGGTAGTTGGTTAAATGTCCTTTGACCAGTATCTGGCCACTTGGAGTGCCTCCGGTGTTGCTGCAAGGAGGTCCTCCCTTGTGCATGTGGCAGGGCTCAGGGTGCATTGCAGCAGGTGGTCAGTGGTTTGCTCTTCTCCACACTCGCATGTCGAGGATTCCATTTTGTAGCCCCATTTCTCAAGATTGGCTCTGCATCTCGTGGTGCCAGAGTGCAGTCTGTTCAGCGCCTTCCAAGTCACCCAGTCTTCTGTGTGCCCAGGAGGCATGTCTCATTCAGAGCCACATCCACTGTTTTAGTGTGGTGAGATGTGTTCCACACTGGGCATGCATACTCAGCAGCAGAGCAGCACAGCGCAAGGGCAGATGTCTTCACTGTGTCTGGTTGTGATCCCCAGGTTGTGCCAGTCAGCTTCCGTATGATATTGTTTCTGGCACCCACTTTTTGCTTGATGTTCAGGCAGTGCTTCTTGTACGTAAAAGCACAGTCCAGAGTGACTCCCAGGTATTGGGTGCGCTGCAATGCTCCAGCGGTATTCCTTCCCAGGTGATCTTCAGAGCTAGGGATGCTTCTCTGTTCTTGAGATAAAAGGCACATGTCTGTGTTTTAGATGGGTTAGGGATCAGCTGGTTTTCCCTGTAATAGGCAGTTAGAGCACCTAGAGCTTCGGAGAGCTTCTGTTCAACCATCTCAAAGCTCCCTGCTTGAGCAGTAATGGCACAATCATCAGCATAGATGAAACTCTCTGTCCCTTCTGGCAGTGGCTGGTCATTTGTGTAGATGTTGAACATGGATGGGGCAAACACGCTCCCCTGAGGCAGGCCGTTCTTCTGTTTCCGCCATCTGCTTCTCTGGCCCTGGAACTCAACAAAAAAGCTCCTGTTTTGTAGCAGGTTTCCTATGAGGTGGGTGAGGTGGTCGTCCTTTGTGATATTATACATTTTTCTCAGGAGGAGGCGGTGTTTCACAATATCATAGGCTGCTGACAGGTCTATGAAGACAGCTCCTATGATCTGCTGCCTTTCAAAGCCATCTTCTATGTGCTGAGTCAGGTTCAGCACTTGCGATGTGCAACTTTTGCCTTTTCTGAAGCCAGCTTGCTTGTGTCTCTATAAGGTGGGATAACTATATTCTAACTCACTGCAGTAGTGCTGAACCTAATTCAACCTTCTCCAAGATGTGTCTTCCAGGTGTTTTGGATTACAAGTCCCATCAGCTTATTGAGAATGGCCAGTAACCATTCTGGCAATGTGCCTGATGTTAATGAAGACAGGTTTGGATGCCATGCTTGTTTTTTGTTCTGGCCTCAGGAAAACAGACAAATGATAAGGTAGTCTATTTTATTACTATTACTATTATTATATTATACTAGCCGTACCCTGCCATGCTTTGCTGTGGCCCAGTTTGGTGATCTCAAAACTAAAGTAACGAGAAAGTGTTGGTTTCTAATATATGGAATTTCTTTATGCATTGTAGGTGAACTGTAAATCCCAACAACTACAACTCCCAAATGACAAAATCAGTTTTTTTGAGTGATGGTCACTCCTTGGGTTAGTAGGTGTATTGTGGCCTCACTACGACCCTGTATTCTATTCACTTTGTTTGCTTTCCACATCCACCTTGTCTCCCAAGGAATAAAAGAAAGCCTCTGACAAGCATATCAGCACAGTATAGATGAAGAAGTAGATGCATTAAGATTAAATAGCATTAATCTGCCCTTGGAAAGCTGGGGTTTAAATGTGGTGTCATCCTGAGGGCAGAAAATTAGTCTTGCCAGAATCTCCCGGGTAAATTAATGAACTGGGTCATGACCTCAAGCATCTTCCAAAATTACAAACTATAAAAACGGCTCACCTCTTTTTTCTTGCACTCAATTCTGGGAAAACCTAAAAGAATCACCAACCCCTTCTACTCTCTCAATTGTGGTGCCGCCTCTGGCTTGGGCAGGGAAACTAAAAATTTAACTTTGCACCTTAATTGTTATAGTAACAGAAGCTATTTTTCTCCATGTATAACTCCCATTATTCCTGAAATAAGGGTTCTGAAAAGTTTTACCCTTGACTCATCCAAAATTCATAATTTTGACTCCAAAATGTACCCTCGACTTATACACCATAGAATCATAGAAACAAAGAGTTGGAAGAGACCTCATGGGGCATCCAGCCCAACTCCCTGCCAAGAAGCAGGAATATTGCATTCAAATCACCCCTGACAGATGGCCATCCAGCCTCTGCTTTAAAGCTTCCAAAAAGGAGCCTCCACCACACTCCGGGGCAGAGAGTTCCACTGCTGAACGGCTCTCACAGTCAGGAAGTTCTTCCTCATGTTCAGATGGAATCTCCTCTCTTGTAGTTTGAAGCCATTGTTCCATTGCGTCCTAGTCTCCAGGGAAGCAGAAAATAAGCTTGCTCCCTCCTCCCTGTGGCTTCCTCTCACATATTTATACATGGCTATCATATCCCCTCTCAGCCTTCTCTTCTTCAGGCTAAACATGCCCAGCTCCTTAAGCCGCTCCTCATAGGGCTTGTTCTCCAGACCTTTTATCATTTTAGTCGCTCTCCTCTGGACACATTCCAGCTTGTTAATATCTCTCTTGAATTGTGGTGCCCAGAATTGGACACAATATTCCAGATGTGGTCTAACCAAACAGAATAGAGGGGTAGCATTACTTCCTTAGATCTAGACACTATGCTCCTATTGATGCAGGCCAAAATCCCATTGGCTTTTTTGCCGCCACATCACATTGTTGGCTCATATGTTGACACCAGATCAACATATGAGGCTGACCTATATATAAGTACACATGATAAATTCTAGGCACCAAGATTTTTCTAACCCAAGAAATATGCTTAGTTACAGAACCACAGAAAAGGATGAAATCTATCATCTTGTGAAGTTCTCAGCCAATGCCCTCACTACTATACCACACCCACTACTACTGGATGGTGATGTCTGAAGGAATGTCATCCAGCCTTTGTTTAGAAGCCTCTAGTATAGGAGACTCCACTGCCTACCAAGGTAGTTTCTTCCATCCTCACACTACGTTTCTTCATAGCATTCAGAATAAAACAAAAAACTACAGTTGGAATTGACCCTGGATTAATGAATTTGATTTTTTGATTATCTGGCTTTGGCTCTATGCACAAGAGGCATCTTGGTTGTGAGCCACCTTGAAGTTGTGAGCCACCCTGAGTCCTGCCCCACCCTCCTCACCCCAGTGTGTGTGTGTGTGTGAAAAGGATGGGATATAAATGTCTGGAAAATAATAATAATAATAATAATAATAATATTTACATATGTTGTTTTAAATTGCTTTTAATTGTTATTATTGTTTGGGTATGGAGTAATGCCACTTATATAAGCCTCCCTAAGTTCCTTTCGAGGAGAGCAGGGCAGGATATAAATGTCATTAATGAATAAAGAAAAAATTGGCTCTGGGATCAGACTTTTGATCAATAATGGGAGCGAAGCAATAAGAGATTGTAAATTAATTTTAATGATGACCCAGACTGGCCTTGGAATATGACCTGGATTATGTGATTTTAATTGTTGTTTTAATGTTATATTTTAATTAGTTGGTTTTAGTGTTTTGTTTATCCATTGATGTACATATGCATGCAGAATTAAATTGTTGCCTTTGTAAGGCTGCCTTGAATCCTCATTAGGGTTTAGAAAGGCGGGATACAAGTATGGTAAATAAATAAATAAAAAATATCAAGAAATCCCTCCATAAAGTTACCTCCCACCATAGGAGGAATCAAAAGTTAATTTGTTTTACTGCCCATTGCTTCCTAAGGCATACAATGTGTAAGACTGCAATTTCCCCCCATTGATTTGTCAGGGGTCGGGACCCTATTTGTGCCCACTGGTTACAACTCTTTTGTTTCTCTTTCCTGGAAACTTTCTGTAGATGAGTATCTTGTGGCTCACAATCTGGCAGCAATCCATGGACCACCACTTTGAACAGCATTGATTTGTGTGACAGCCTTTCAATTTTTGCAGACAGCTACCAAACAAGCTTTTCATTATCTCTTTTCTAGGCCTGTCGCTGTAAACTTTGCTCTCTGTCCCTTTCATAGCTGTGCAAAAGCTGGAACAGACCTTTGCTCTGAGAAAGAACAGGAATCCTGGCTTTTGCCCTGAAGTGGAAAATCCATGGAACACCTGGAAGAAGAAATGAGCCAAGATGGGAACAATTGAGACAATCCACCACTCACCTCTTGTACATTTGTTAATTCTAGCAGCTCTCCAAAGACATAAACCCCAGGAGCCTCCAGCACTTGGCTGATCAGAGCAGTCAGGGCTGACCCAGTGGTGCCTTTAGCTAATAAAATAAACTGCTCAAGGAGATTACAGGACGGTTTCTGTTCCCCGGCCATTCTAGATTCGTTAACCTGTTAAAGAGAAAGAGCGCATAAATGCTATGCAACACGCTGTCCAGAAGCTTGGCTGGGAAGGCAAATGTTAGAGTCTCCACTTTGTTTCTTGTTCAGAAAAACAAATCTAAAAGAAATCAGAAGCCTATTTCCAAATAACTGCATGAAACAATAACTCAGTGTATATCTGTTGGGGGAGCCAAAGGCTTTTTAAAAAAATAAACAAATCAGAAATCAAATAGCATGGCTTCTTCAAAGTTTGCTTCACAGGACACAGCAACAATGCTTTACCAGCAAAATTTCAGCTGAGAAGTCTAGTTTGGTCAGCAGGAAATTATTAGCCAACAGAAATGCTAAGGGCCTTTGCCCAGAAAACCAGACGTGTAAAAAGCACTGCAAAATTTCCCCCGCCTCCTTTTCCATTCTTTCCCTCTTTCATTCCACGCACTATTCTTTCTTCTACTCTGAATTTTGTATCATGCAACCTGAATCACAGAGCTGGGAAAAATAATAAAGTCTAGCAAATCTAATCCCTTGATATTCAGGCACAACGAAAACGTTCCTGAAAGATGGTCCACCACCCTCTTTGGTAGTTATTCTATCATAGTCATATTTCACCTGCTCATGCTCAGCATTATTTTAAATTTTAATTATTACATTTGGCCCAACCATAGGTTTTTAAACGCCATTGTGTTACTGTTAATGTTTATTGCTTATTTTCTGTTATGAGTTTTATTTTTATTGTTTTGTATTACTTGTTGTTATTGCTTTTCTTATTGATGGATTGTGGGCTCAGCCTCATGTAAGCTGCACCAAGTCCCTTGGGAAGATGGTAGCGGGGTATAAATAAATAAATAAATAATATATTCCTCAATGGAATATCTATTTTAATCAAGACATTAGTCCTAAACTTAGGTGGAATTTCTTCTACTGTAATTTGAATCCATTGGTACCAGTTCTAGTTTCTGGAGCAAGAGAAAAATAGCACAGTCTCCAACTTCTGAAGAAGGGTGCCAGAGAATCTGAAACTGACATTTTCAGAATACTAATATTATTTATTTATTTATTTATTTGCTGTATTTGTATACCGCCTTTCTCAGCCAATCAGCAACTCAAGGCGGTTTCCAACAAAGAAGTACATATAAAATCATAATACAGATTAAAACATTAAACAATATGAAACACCACAAAAGCAATAAAAACATCATTAGCGTCTCATTATTATCAAGCATTGTCCAGCTCCATTGTCAAATCGTTCGATTTCCTATATTAGCTACTCCGCATTTGCAAACAATTGCTCAAACAGCCTTGTTTTAACTTGCCTCCGAAACATTAAGAGGGAGGGAGCAGATAAAATCTCCCTAGGGAGGGTGTTCCATAGCCGAGGGGCCACCACTGAGAAGGCCCTGTCTCTCGTCCCCGCCAAACGTACTTGAGATGAAGGCGGGACCAAGAGCAGGGCCTCCCCAGATGATCTTAGAGTCCTTGATGGTTTGTAAGGGGAGACACGTTCGGACAGGTAAATTGGGCCAGAACCATTTAGGGCTTTATAGGCCAAAGCCAGCACTTTGAATTGGGCCTGGTAGCAAACCGGCAGCCAATGGAGCTGGTGCAACAAAGGGGTTGTATGTTTCCTGAGTGTCCCTCCTGTTAGCAACCTGACTGCTGTTCGTTGGACTAGTTGAAGCTTCTGGGCCGTCTTCAAAGGCAACCTCACGTAGAGAGCGTCGCAGTAGTCTATACGGGATGTAACCAGAGCATGGACTACCGTGGCCAAGTCAAACTTCCCAAGGTACAGGCGCAGCCAGAGCACAAGTTTTAACTGTGCAAATGCTCCTCTGATCACCGCCAAAACCTGAGGTTCCATACTCAGCGATCAATCCAGGATCACACCCATAATACATGTAGTATGACACCATCCTTTTTCTATTAATAGCCACAGTGCAGTTTTCCCTAGGTTTACTTCTAAGTAAGTGCCTCTGGGTGCACTGAGAAGGAATCTCAGATCACACCATTGAGAGAAACACCACATCCAGCAATCTAGTGGATTCTCTCCAAGGTGAGATCTTGCAAGATAAAATGAAAACTGGGAGAGACATGAAGACATCTCACAGACAGACCATAGGAGGAAAAGCAGTAGGTTAAAATGCGAAGAATTATTCATTGCACTATCTGACTTCAGAAAATGCATCTCAGGCAGAAATGCTTCATTAAATCATGATGTTAGTTTGCTGTATTAACAGGGATCTATCTATCTACCTATCTATCTACCTATCTATCTATGGGGACAAGAGTGGTGTAGTGGCTTGAGCATTGGATTAAGACTCTGGAAACTAGAATCCAAATCCCTGTTCAGCCATAAAACCCCCCCTGAGTGACCTTAGGCAAGTCACACTGTCTCAAATTCAGAAAGAGGCAAAGGGAGCTCTCTGAACAAATCTTGCTAAGAAAACTCTGGCAGAATAAGCATTCCAAACCAGAAGAATCAGGATGTAGGTTTGGGAAAGTGGAAGGAATAAGGACTCCTTCATATGACAGATCCTGCCAAGCAACTGGAATGGTAGAGGCTGTCAGTGGCATGCCATAAAGTAGCCTGGTGCCACATAGAACTTGAGGGCCATGCTTTGCCTGCCTCTGTTTTAAAAGGCAGCAAATGGACAACAACATTATTATCATAAGCCAGAAGAACAGAATCTGAAGATTTTTTTTTGTCATGTCAGGAGCGACTTGAGAAACTGCAAGTTGCTTCTGGTGTGAGAGAATGGGCCGTCTGCAAGGAAGTTGCTCAGGGGACCCCAGATGATTTGATGTTTTTATCCTTGTGGGAGGCTTCTCTCATGTCCCCGCATGAGGAGCTGGAGCTGATAGAGGGAGCTCATCCAACTCTCCCCGGATTTGAACCTGCGACCTGTCGGTCTTCAGTCCTGCCGGCACAGGAGTGCATCTGAAGATGCAGCCATGTTAGTCTGGAATAGCACCTTCAACATGAACTAAGAGAACACAGTTGGTATCATAAGCTTTCATAAACTAAGGGTACATCTATGGGCCCTTCCACACAGCCCTTTATCCCAGGATATCAAGATAGAAAATCCCATATTATCTGAGTGTGAACTCAGATAGCCCAGTTTAAAACAGATATTGTGGGATATTCTGACTTGATATTCTGGGATATAGGGCTGTGTGGAAAGACCCAAAGTTGTAGAATTAATGCAACCTGACACCAGCGTAATGCTATGTGCTCAGTGCTATGGAAACTTGGGATTTGTAGTTTGGTGGGGCCCCAGCATTCTTTGCCAGAGTGGGTGAGAAATCTTTTAAATCACAAAACATTGGGACATGGCATTTCAAGTGGCTTCAAACTCCATTTAGGGCCCTTCCACACAGCCCTATATCCCAGAATATCAAGGCAGAAAATCCCACAATATCTGCTTTGAACTGGGTTATCTGAATCCACACTGAGATAATGTGGGTTTTTCTGCCCTGATATTCTGGGATAAAGGGCCGTGTGGAAGGGCCCTGGTCTACAGTGTAATTTCTTGGGAATTAGAAACTAGGAATGTTTGTTCTCACGAAAAGGAATGTTTAATTGCTTGTTCCCTGTTGGCATGTACTTCTTTCTCTGAGTTACCTGCATACTAACCTTTAGTAGGTACATATAAAGATGGCTGCATGCCTTATGTTGTATCTATGTACGAGCAACTTGATATAACAAGTTAGCATGCAGCAGCCTGTTGTGTATTTGTATGTACGTTTGCGTGTTTTTCCCGGATGTGTTGCCATCCAATGGGAGGCTTCTCTCATGTCCTCGCATGGGAAGCTGGAACTGACAGACAGGAGCTCACCCCATCTCACAGATTTGAACCGCCAACCGTCAGGTCAGCAGTTCAGCCAGCACAAGGATTTAACCCATGCACCACCATGGCTCCTGGTGATGACCTGGAGGGATATCAATGCAGAGGCTGTTTCTTCATATGCCTTTCCATCACCCTCTTTGTATCCTGATATTCTAGAACCACAGAATCTTAGAGCTAGAAGAGACTACAAGGGCCATCCAGTCCAACCCCATTCTTCCATGCAGGAACATACCACCTAAGCCCTCCTGACAGATGACCATCCAGCCTCTGCTTTAAAAACCTCCAGAGAAGGAGACTCCACTGGACTCTCAAGCAGAATATTCTGCTGCTGTCAATATGTTTTTCCTAATGTTTAGGCAGAATCATTTTTCCTGGAATTTGAATTCTTCGTTTTATTGTGTCCTAGGCCCCTTCTATTCATTTATATAATGAGAAGGCACAGAGAAGAGATGTAGTAGTCATGGGCGATTTCAACTATCCCGATATTTGCTGGAAAACAACTCGGCNTCTCATGGACTTAGCATGGGGATTTGGTTAACCAGTTAAAATTCTTGAGTAAACCAGGTTTTTTTTTAACCTGAAAAATTTCGGCGGGAGGGGGTTTGAGCTTAAGGTCCAAATCTTACCAGGTGTTTATTAATGCAGAGTAAACTGGTAAAACCTGGTTTACACAAAAAGACAATGGATTCCCAAAATTGCAAAAAAGCACTGTTTAGGAGAACCTGATGTAAGTATCTATGCCTCTTTTATTATTTATGCCTTATATGTTGACAATACATGGAAATATTTATCCTTTTTGGGACATGTTCTAGCCACCTGTATATATTCCATTTAGATCCACTTCTTGTATCCTCATATTTATCCACCCGAGAAAGATTTGATATTTTGGAGGACTTGATATCCACTTCATTGTACTCTTCATATTTTCTCTACCTGAGGAAGACTTAAGACAGTCAAAACTGGTCTGGAAATCCTCTACATGGATATCCTCTTACAAGGAACTGGAAGCTCCACCCAACAGTATCTTTACAGAAAGCAAGGGATCTTATGCCCTTAGGAGAAGTGTGCTTTAAAGCAAGAAATACTCTACTTTTGTGACTGGTGTAAAAATCACTGTATAAAAAACAGGTTTTTTTGTTCCTTGTATATTGTTCAATACTGTATTATATAAGTTTGATATATGTTTAATATTGTATTATATAAGCTGCAAAAAAACCCACTTATCTCTGTGATTTATGTACTAAAACCTGGTTTACTCCATATTAATTCGCTTCTCCTGGAGGGGTCATTTGGACACCTCCAGTAATTAGAGGACATCCAATCCCAAATTGGGAAGCAAGTCGTCCAGGAATACCTGGCTGCTCTAAATGAGTTCAAGTCCCCAGGGCCAGATCAATTACACCCAAGAGTATTGAAGGAACTAGTGGAAGTCATTTCGGAAACATTGGCAATTATCTTTGAGAGTTCTTGGAGAACGGGAGAAGTTCCAGCATACTGGAGGAGGGCCAATGTGGTCCCAATCTTCAAGAAAGAAAAAAAGGATGCCCCAAACAATTACCGCCCAGTCAGCCTCACGTTGATACCAGGCAAGATTCTGGAAAAGATTGTTAAGGAAGTGGTCTGCAAACACTTAGAAACAAATGCGGTCATCGCTAATAGTCAACATGGATTTATCAAAAACAAGTCATGCCAGACTAATCTGATCTCTTTTTTCGATAGAGTTACAAGCTGGGTAGATGCGGGGAATGCCGTGGATGTAGCGTACCTGGATTTCAGTAAGGCCTTCGACAAGGTCCCCCACGACCTTCTGGCAAGGAAACTAGTCCAATGTGGGCTAGGCAAAACTACGGTGAGGTGGATCAGTAATTGGTTAAATGGATGAACCCAGAGGGTGCTCACTAATGCTTCCTCTTCATCTTGGAAAGAAGTGACAAGTGGAGTGCCAGGGTTCGGTCCTGGGCCTGGTCCTGTTCAGCATCTTTATTAATGACTTAGATGAAGGGCTAGAAGGCAGGATCATCAAGTTTGCAGATGA